AACCAACAGCAGAATTGCATCACGAGATTCACCAAATAAGAACACACCAAGAGTTCATAATTGACAATGCTGAAATAGTCCCATCATCATCATCAACGAAGAACCAGAGTTGATATCCTATCTGGCTCTCGGCACCCAGACTACATGTGGCAGATCCTATCTAGCCTATACTACAATGCCGAAGTTGACGACAACAGCTCTCCCGAAGTATGAGCATACAGCGACCAATGTCGCACGCTTCCAGCACCAGGCATGTCTCTCGCCTTACTCACAACCTCGTTCCCCAACACACAGATGCCACTTGCACCCAAGGACCACCCTGCGCCACACCCAGCTTACAGCAGCGCAGCTCGGCTATGGCTGCCTGCTCCTTCCGTGCTCACCCGTGAGAGTGTAGGCGCTAGCCAGCAAATAGCGCAGCAGCAGCGCTTGTGCAGCAAGCAGCCAGCACCCGAATGCCCAATGAGGAGGCAGGCCCTTTGCTATATCGAAGTGGCCTGCCTGCGTCCAGTCCCGGGAAGCTTCCAGTAGGCCCCAGTAGCCTGAGGCCCAGCACGATCGAGAACAGGCCTGGTGCCTGATGTGGTTGCATGCGCCCAACTGCCTTTGGCATGTGTTTGGCCCAGTACCCGTATCCAGCCCAGGGCCTGCTTTCCATTCATTCACACAGGCGCCCCAAGGCCTGGGTTCTCTCAACCAACTGGCACTGCGCAACTGCCTGAATTTCCTTAGTTGCGCAGAGGCCGAAATAAGGCCCTGAGGGGCCTCGTCGAGCCTGCCTTCACTTAGGGCGGCCAACAGGCTCCCAAAAAGGGGCCGAATGGGGCTCATAGAGGCAGTGGCCTCGCATTCCCTCCTCCTTAGCTTCAACAGTCCTCTGAGAAGCTCAGTCTTCGACCATCGGGCGCTTTCCTTTCTGCAGAGATTTCTCGTAGTGGGCTACAACTTGCGGAGCGGTCTGCATGAGTTCGTCCCTGGAAAACCAGCGGTCCTCTCTCGGATTAGTATGATGTCGGAACTGAACGCGGTACTGCAGCTTCGGTTTCGGAGGACGTCCCCTGCTTGTTGTTCTTGGAACTGGAAGCTCCCGGTGGTCAACAATATCGTCGATGTCGACCTCTCCATCCTTGGTTGGGGGCAGCATTGAACGACGAGATGGAAACTAATCTGTTTCCTTGAAAGGTGCAAGCTTGGAGGCGTGAAAGACAGGGTAAGTGCAGAGATGACCAGGGATCAAGACAACATAACATGGGCCATCCGGATCAGTCCCAACAATGACTAAAACTTCCCAAGGCCCAAAGTACTGAGGCATAAGTTTACGGGAGATACCGTACTCTTGTCCTAACCCAGACTCTATCCCCAACCCGAAACGTAGAAGGGCGGCGGTGTCTATTCTCAGACTCTATCATTGTCACTTGTGCCTTCTCCATCTGTTCTACCGCCTGCTGCATCTTCTGTTCATACCGATAGGCAAATTCTAAGGTACCTGGTGCAGCAGTTGACTGATTATCAGGAAGGAGAAAATCTAAGGGTAGTCTAGGCTTGAAAGTCAACAACAAACTGTTTGGGCTCACCCCGGTAGCGCTGTGTACAACATTACTGTACAGACTGGCGATGAGAGCAAGCTTCTCGTCCCAGTCCACCTGGTTTGGCTTGATATAATACCTCAACAGGTGTTGTACAACGCCGTTCATTTGTTCTGCCTAGCCGTTGGCCTCTAGGTGATTCCCAGAAGTCATTTGCAACTGAGTACCCTGCTCCGCAACTGCGGACTTCCACAACTCACTAGTGAATCGGACATCCCTGTCGCTCACGATTGATTTGGGCAAGCCAAAATCCCTGACCCAATTTTCTTTAAACAACCTGATTACATACTCAGTTTTCGCAGTCTCCGGCATTGCTACTAGTCTAGCATACTTACTAAATCTATCCACGATGACGAAGATGTGTTGCATCCCACTCTTGCTGGTAACCGAAGTATCCATGAAATCCATGGATAGACTCTCACCAGGCCGTTCCCAAATCGGAAGGGGCTTCAGAAGCCCAAGAGGAGTCATGTGGCTTGTCTCTTTGACATACCTGACAAGTCTCCACGTACAGCTGGCGTCTCCCATCATCGTGGGCCACTAGAACTGCTGCAACTGATTGGCTCCCGTCTTCTTATACCCAAAATGATCGGTGGCATCATGGCACTCACCTAAAACCAAACTACGCAAAGACTCGCTATTCGGGACACACAATTGTTTTTTCCCTTCCTTCTCAAGGAACAGCAAGCCATTGACCAACTCAAACTCGACAGAAGTCTTCTTGTCCTTCGCCTCAAGTCTGCGTATGATCTCAGACATAAACTGGTCCTCGTGATAGGCGTCCACCAAAGACTGAGTAACACTGTCCATCAGATCCAACTCAGTAATCAGCGCACCTGAGAAGTCAGGTCTACGCGACAAGGCATCAGCAACCTCGTTGTACTCCCCTTTCAGATACTTAGGTCAAAGTCATACTGCTCGATGACTTCAATCCAACGCTTCAGAGCGTCAGAGAGCACCGGCTGAGTTCTCATCCATCTCAGGGTCTGATGATCAGTCCTGAGGATGAAGATAGTGTCTCCAATGGGTCAGAGCCTTGTAAACTGCATAGCGTTTTTTCTCATAGGTGGACTTGGCCAACTTCTGAGACGACATTTTCTTGGACATGTACTCCACATGCCTCAACTTTGGCCCCTCCTGCTGCGCGAGCACGGCGCCAATGCCATATTGGCTGGCATCCGTGGTGACTATAAAGGGCATATAAAGATCAGGAAGTTTCAAGACCTCGTAGTGCGTCAACGCATGCTTCAAATGTCTGAAAGCAGCCTCGCACTCATCTGTCCACTCCCATGGGGTGTCAAGGCCGGTCAAATCAGTAAAAGGAGCGGCCACTATGCTATAGTTCTTAACGAAAGTCCTATAGTAGCCTGTCATTCCTAAGAAATATCTCATCTCAGTCACGGACTGAGGACGTGGCCAATCACGAATGCTGGCCACCTTCGCGTCATCGTGCTTCAACCCTTCCGCAGAGATCTCATGACCCAAGTACAAGACACAGGTGCGGCCAAACTCGCACTTCTCCCCGTTGATCTTGAACTTGTGCTGTCGCAGGAGACTAAGGACTTCGTCCAAGTGTGCAACATGCTCCTCGATAGTCTTACTAAAGATAATTATGTCATCGACGTACACGATGACAAACTTATCCAAGTAGTCATGGAATATCTGATTCATAGCGTGCTGAAAGGTGCCACAAGCATTGCAAAGGCCGAAAGGCATCACCACAAACTCGTACAGACCATATCTGGTCTGAAAGGCGGTTTTGTGTTGATCCTCGGACCCGATTGCAATTTGATGGTACCCGGACTTCAAATTTATCTTACTGAAGTACCGACACCCTTGCACTCTATCTAGCAAATCGTCGATGCGCGGTAGGGGCTCTTTGTTCTTAACAGTGATGGCATCGAGGCCCCAATAATCAATGCACATCCTAAGTGTACCCTCCTTCTGAGGTACGAATAGTACTCGAGATCCATAAGGAGAGACACTCGACCAGATCCAACCCTTCTCGACGAGTTCCTTGAGCTGTCGGCAAAGCTCATCGAGCTCCCTTGGAGACATCCGATAGATCCTACCATTCGGAATGCTAGACCCTGGGATAATCTCTATCGCATGAACGACCTCCCTCTCTACAACCCATGTCACCTCTTCAAATAGCTCAAGGTACTTGGCAACTACTCCCTCTATCTCCGACGGCATTTTCACCGGCTCGCCTGCAGCAGAGACAAACTAAGTACATACCCTCCTCCTGATTTTGCTTATGATAATTATAGAATGCGGCCGCACACATGCACCCATAGGACTCAATCAGACTACTACCCTTGAACTTACGCAATCTGACGGTCCCTCCACCTGGCAAAGTGTGTTTGACCACTTTTCGGTCCAGTCAAACTGGGGCTGTGCCACAGAGAGGTAGTACATACCTAACAGCATATTCATGGGGAGTTCATCGCTCACTAGGAACGAAACACGATGTCTCAATTCCCCTCCCGCGTACGGGAAACAACACTCAACATCCTGGAGGTAGTCATTGACTACCATGCGCTGTTTGTTGGCCCAGGTCGACTCCACAGGTCGACTCAGGCGCTGCACTTGCCCCTGTAAGCGCAGCCTCTCAACGCACGCGCGATTGATAAAGTTCCTTGTCGAGCAAGTATCATAATAGGCCCCGGCCTTGCGACCGCCAATGACCACCTCGCTGACGAACATCTCACCCTTCGGGCTTTGACTAGGGCCATCCAAGAAGCTAGCGGGTCTGATCTAGACCACTCCTCTAGCTCCTCTAAGGACTCAAACACATTCATCGAACAAAGGCTCAATGGGTCTGAATGCGTTTGCGGGACGACGCTGGAGTCAGTAGCTTGGGCCTTGGGCCATCTCTCGAGATGGTGAGGGTGTTTCCACCACCTCGACCCTAGCAGTAACAACTACTATTCCTACTAGCCCGACGTGTTTTCCGGAACAATGCCTGAAGTGCTGGCAACGTTGCTACCGACGGGATGGGAGGATCCTACCGCCTGCCCCATCGTAGGCGGGATTTTGTCGGTCACCTTCTTGTTACGTCATTTGAACTGATTATGGCCATATTGGCCACAACGAATGCAAGTTTGCCATGTGTACCGATCTCTCCACACGTCCTCTGAGAGACCCGCCTTCTCCCATGGGGGAGCATTGGGGTCGACTTGACTCCTTGACCGAGAGCCTCCACGGCGTCTACCGGTCGCCTTACCTTTTTGAGCTACGGCAGCAACAACACCCCCTGAAGCTTCAACGTTGCCCACCTCTGCACCTACTCCCTTCTGGAAGTTAACTCTTATTCGATGGTTGAACCATCGTTATCGGCAAACATAATGCGTCCCTTCGCCTTCCTATTGGGAGGCAGTGTTTTCTTCCTACCATCCGTAGCGGGTGCCTGTCCATGCCCCATCTTCGCCTCAAGGTCTAGGGCCTTCTTGCTAAACGAAGGAAAGTTGTGCATGTTGATGTTGGCCTCACCTGCTAACTGATTCCCGAGAGGCAAAGAGAAGCATCTCACATAGGAGGTGAGTAGAACCTGGGGGTCATAGCGCACCCCTGGGACACATATCAGACGCTCAGCAGCGTCGGTGGCTTCCCTTACTGACTTGAACTCACGCATGTGCAGTGTCAGGATCGCGTCAGTGGCCCTTTGGGCCTCCTGGCGATCATGCCAACTTTCCTCCACCAGCTTAAGTCATCCAATTTCTGCCCAAGCGCGGAAGTCATGACCATACCCCTGGAGCTGCGCTAAACCACTGAACCATCTTGCTGCACTACCCTCTAGGTAGGAGGCAGCCACAAGCATTTCTTCGTACGACAAGGTAAGTTTACACCTAACATAGACTGGCACTGCCCTCAACCATGTGTCGAGGTCTTCACCTCTCTTATCCCCTGTGAAGCGTTTCGGAGCGACGATGGTCGTCTTTGGAACCCATTGTGTTTGTCCCAGTCCCTGCATCACTCCGGGCCATGGACCCTGTGACACAGGTTGTTGTGCTAGCTGCTGGGGTTGTGTGCCCTGCGGCTGTACAGACTGCGAGATAGCAGGCTGCGTGGTAACCGCAACATGCAATGGAGATTGGGTAAACACTGTCTGTATAGAACCTGCAAACTAGATCCTACTGTTATCCCTCCTGATAGCGACATGCCCAGGGCCACGATCGCAACCGATGATGGGGCTACATATGGGGATACCCTAGTCACCAGTGGGACGAAAGGAGAAGACTGTACGACGGGCCAGGCACCAGGCCCGGACATTGGCAATGTTGCCTGCGCTCGCCCAACCAACAGGGCCAGACTTTGTTGAATGTCCTGAAGGATGGTTGTCTGATGGTCCTGCATCTCAACCACATAGCAGGACGGACCGTACGATCCTCATGTCATCAGTAACGTGCGTCAGGTCCATCTCCTCTAACTCACTAACGTTTGCTTGTCTACGCTGCATCCTGGCTCTTCTTCTAATCATCCTTTCCTTCTCCGCTTTTATCTCTCCTAATGCCTTTTGTAGTTGTGCCTCCTGCAATGCTGCCCGTTGTATGGCAATCTCGTCAGAAGTCAAGACTATAGGCTGGCTTGCCATTACACCAGCGGACTGACTCTGGGTCTGCGCGACCGTTGACCCGACAGACCCTGAACTACCGGCCTGAGTAGAGTCTGTTGCGCAGAAGTGGCCATGGCTTCCGAAATTGCGGCCTCACTCACAAGTGCCCTGCTAGCCTCTGCTGCTCTAGCCCTCCTCTGCTGCTGCTACCTCTCCCTAAGCTGGCGGAACAGATATATGTCGCCCTTTGGTCCTAATGCCAAGTGGGCAATTGGGCGTCTAGGCGATCGCAAGATCCTTCGGTCGTCCTCTCCAGTGTCCTCCTCGTCCCTCATAAGCTACAGCCCTGTACACAATCTGCACTAGTGCACTCTAGGTACCTACCGCAGCGTAGTGCACAGACCAACTAGTGGCTATTTCGAAGTAGATACACTTGGGGTCAACAGGTAAGTCACATTCCTACAAATAAAACCATTTTTAGTTTGACTAGTCCACAAACAGAAGCACCATGAACAAGAAACAGTTCTAACTAATGCTGTCTGTCAGATGTCAATGGTTGTACACCTAACTAATCAAAACACAAAAATAGAATCATTTGTGTGGATAGGACAGCATGGAATTTTCTCGAACTTATCACCTGAAATCTACCCCTCCCTTAGTTCCCTTGAGTATCACTTGACATCAGCGTCCCTGAGCAATCTGGAGACCCTCGCGTGTCTAAAAGGTGTGTTCGGCCCCACCCTGTGCGCCGAGTATCTGCTGAGCTGGCCATCCCTGCACTGGATTATCCTCGCAAGCAGCGAGCCTTACAACCATTGGCTGATCCAGAGGCAATTCAACGTCCGCCCCCAAGTGACTCCAAGAATTATTTTACGTCGCAGCCGGACGACGATCACAGCCAATGGTTCCCGGTGCTTATTTAACGACGCCCGGTTTCGTCTCCCTTAAGGGTCGGCCTGCCCTTCAGTACCCATCCAACAGCACAGCAAGCCAAACAGAGGACAAGCAGCAAAGCATGCGTGCTCTACTCCCGGTGGGTTGGCATGGTGACCGTGGCCCCGTGCTCGGTCCAGGGCCCTTCAGAAAGCTCCGCCCATCTTCTCCCAAATGCTCCACGTGAACATTGCCGACTCTCAAGGTTGAGCGCACTCGACATCTCACAATGAGAGGCCTCTCAAGAAGGAACACACAACCTCACGGTAAGAAGTGTCAAAGAGGGTAGACAAGGTTAAGAGCAACCTACCTCAAATAGCTGCCCCCAACCACAGAGATAATCTCACCAGATGACCTGATGGCGATTGCGATGACCAGTCACTGCATCGACACAACCAGCATTATATCATCGTTCCACCTCAGCATCAATCGCACATTAGATAGTTCTCATCACACTGTCCAGACCACATTACACCTCGTAGCCTTCCTGGCGATCCCCTCACCTCCTGGGTCACCAACCACTCGTCTCCACCCTCCTCACTACACACCACTTACGGCCAAACTCACCAAGCAGACCACATGTATGTACCATACCAGGCAGAAGACAAGCGCCAGATGAGCGCAATCGTACCACAGCTCCGATACCAAATTGCAAGGATGATGAGCAAAAGCGAACTTCAGCAATCAAACAGCATCATACATATGAGTCCAGATAGTCGTGACCTCGAACCAACAGCAGAATTGCATCACGAGATTCACCAAATAAGAACACACCAAGAGTTCATAATTGACAATGCTGAAATAGTCCCATCANAACCAACAGCAGAATTGCATCACGAGATTCACCAAATAAGAACACACCAAGAGTTCATAATTGACAATGCTGAAATAGTCCCATCATCATCATCATCAACGAAGAACCAGAGTTGATATCCTATCTGGCGCTCGGCACCCAGACTACATGTGGCAGATCCTATCTAGCCTATACTACAATGCCGAAGTTGACGACAACAGCTCTCCCGAAGTACGAGCATACAGCGACCAATGTCGCACGCTTCCAGCACCAGGTATGTCTCTCACCTTACGCACAACCTCGTTCCCCAACACACAGATACCATTGTACCCAAGGACCACCCTGCGCCACACCCTCAGCAGCACCACGGTCCTCTATACAGCACGAGAAAGCGATACAGCACAACAAGTCAACAGTTTCCATCACGGCGATCCATGATCCCTCCGGACATGGATGGAAGATACGACATTGATGGTATAGTAGGTGAGGACGTCTTTAGAACAGGAGGTAGAGGTCGTCCACAGAAACAGTACAAAGTCCGGTTTTCCTTTCAAGAACCAGAAGACCGCTGATTCACGCGAACAGAACTTCTAAAGACAGCTCCCGACATAGTTAGAGCTTACGAAAGAGATAGGAAAGGTAAAGGTCCTGCCTTAGACTGAAGTATTCTCGGAGGACCTTGAATTTAGGCCGGCGGGAGTGAAACGGTTTTCACCTTTTGCAGTCACAGATGCGGGCCCTAGAGTTCTATCCCCAGACCTCACCTTACCCACGTACAGTATCGAGCCGACCCTCGAGTGTTTGAACCCGAGACCTGTATTTTGGTAGTTGTTTGTTGTCTGTCGTAAGTCGAGTAGTTGAAGGGGTTCGATCTGTAGGTCTGTCGAATAGGGGTCACAGCTCTGTAGAGGTCGTAGCTGCTACAGTCCTGAAAGGTCAAGGTCGTCGCTGCTACAGTACTCGAAAGGCCAAGTCCACAGACTTCCAGAAGGTCCGGAAGTGGC